TCTCTCTCTCTCTCTCACTCTATCTCTCTCTCTCTCTCTCTCTCTCACACACACACACACACACACAAATTTGTGGCTACAACTCAGGTGCGAGGATAAGTGCTCCAAGGCACAAAGATGTATAAGATTGGTAAGAAAAAGGTTATTCCAGACACTCAGAGATAGAGAGAGAGAGGAGCTGAGGCTTACATTTTTGCTTTTCTTGACAGTCACACGAGTCACACCAGGAATTGGTTTCATCCCAAGCTTCAACATTGCTTTCCTACTCTTCTTCTCACTCCGACTCTGCTTTAGCTTGCTGTTCGGGTCACCACCTTGTTGTCCTGCAAAATGGACATGCGCATGCCAATTACCATTAATGTGATGAGCTCACATCGTGCACATATACACACGATGATGCAACACAAATGCATGTGCGCATAGCCAAACGACATGCAAATGTACATATTCGACAATGATATGAGACGTGCAATCAACGAGTTACCTTCAGCATGTTCTTCCTTGTCATCATCTTCATCATCATCATCTTCGTCGTCCTCATCATCATCATCCTCTACTATCGGCTCATCAAACTGCAACAATGGATTCATATTCACATGGATTTAAACAAGGACAAATACAACTAGATCACAGGAACAACACCTAGTGAAGTATAAATTACTAAAAACAAATAAAAGGCAAGTAGGAAATAAGAAAATTGCGTCACAATGAGTATAGAAATGTGAAACCAAATTGTGTAGAAGGCTAATCTACAGATACACTCATACACATGTCACAATTATATTCAATAGGCTAATCTACAGATACATGTCTTTCTTTCCTTCGACCATGGCATACAACCATGCACAGTATCATCATCTTCATTCTCTGCAAAGACCACATAAGGAGCACATCTAACATTACATCATTTTCAAATTGTGCACAGCACAATTCTAAACACGCTCAATTCCTCATGAACAGACAGGTCATAGAAATAACTTTTCTCACCAAGGCCATATAAGTAGCAAATCTAAAATTACATAATTTTAAAACAATCAACAACTGCAATTCTAAATACACTCAATGGCTCAAGTCAGAATTTTTATTTTATTTTGAATATGTTAACTGCATTGAACTGAAAGTGAGTACAGAATGTGAGAGGAGAGGGGGGCAGGACACCCACAGACGGGTTCCGCCCAAAAAATAGGCAACCCACAAACGGGTGCCCTGTACAAAACCAAAGGCATATCAAAAAAGCTTTACATAAATTAAGACATTATATCAATTCCAATCTGTGATAGGGACTTCCGCAGAGGTTCCCTAAGGGTTGCTCAGGTTCGCTTGAGACAAGGTTGCAGCTGCCTTTGCTAGGGAATCAGCCTCACCATTTGCTTCTCTCCAAACATGGCTCCACAAGATTTGTAGATTCCTTGTGAGTTGACAGATTTCTTTGAATATGCTGTCAAGCCTCCAAGGCCAGGGGGCAGTGCCTGAGACCTTTTTTTTTCTTATAAAGACCATATAAATAGCACGTCTAAAATTACTTTATTCGTAAATAAGGAACCACAATTCAGAACACACTCAATGCCTCATGGATAGACAAGGTCAGACAATTAGTTGTTTCTCACTTTGTACAACGCACAAGTCAAATCCTTGTTTTGATCCTCATTATTCTCCCACTCTTTTATCAAACTGTCATAAAACTTCTGTTTTTCCTGGGAAGTTATATTTTTAGCTTTGTTTTGTAATTATATGTGAAATATGGTGTGCTTGACTTTCCCAGAAGTATGCTTTGTTCCTAGTGCCTTGAGGGTGAAAGTTGTAGGAACTTGGGAAATCTGGGGTATTATTATAGGTGTTTCCTGTATTTTAACCATAGATGAGAACTTCTTTCAAGATCCACCCTTGAGTTAGAGAAGACACTTTACAGAGCCCAGTTTTGTAAGACAATAAAACTGTGCTACTATAGACACCACAGAAAGGGTGATCACTTGGTAAGCCCTTGTACCATACCACCATACTACAAAGGAAAAAGAAAGAAGAGTAGAAGAAAACGTACCACTGTAAACATCACTTTTAACAATTTGCCTACAATAAAATTTTTTTAAAGTGTTGTACGTACAATCATTTTTTGCAAATATGATAAAAAAGGATGCAAGCTTTTAATTTCTAACAAGTGCTAACCGTCTTTCTGCTTTTCATTTATTTAGAATTGTCTTTTTGTGAGATGCATCCACATGGGAGAGGTAGGTCCCCATAAGGGTTGTGGATTTTTTCTTTTTCTGTATAAAACCTGCCATCCTAGAATTTATCAAATAAAGAAGTACTCCTATTGGAAGTTGACAGATCCTACCCATCAATGAAGGTTAGAAGACCTTGTTTTTATAATAAATGAGGGACAGGAGCCTTGTTCAAATAAGACTCCAACTAGAGGGTTATTAACCCCATGTGGCATGAACAAAAATAAAATTGCACCATGTACTTCTCATGACTTAACAATAGTCAAAAGTGACTCAACATGAATGAGATTGTTAACATCAGTAACTAGGCATGGGTTATCTTTCATTATATCTTAAGATCCTCCAATAAGGAGGTCAGTCCCTTGCTAAGGAGGCGGTCGCTAGAAGCTCTAAGCCAGGGACTTTCAACTCTCCACATCTCTGCCATGCATCTTTAAATGGTAGTATGGTATCCTTCATGCAACATGATGTACAGAAGTTATAGCTTCAAGAAAGTAATAAAAATTTCACGTCATTTCAACGTTGCTCTTAGTCTATAAATCTCTGCATTGAAAGCACATACATAACTCACGCCTTTCTCTACTACAACGGGATCATGTTTACATCCATTAGAAAGGTTCATAATCACCTTGCAATTATTATATAGCCCCCAGATACATACTCCACCTTTCCATTTCAACCTTGAGCTCTCACCCCCAATAGACACTCAACAGCTCCTCCAACCATATACTCAGCACATAGAGGCACTCAACATATCTACATTAGCCATTACCCCCTATCATCATCCACTGTGTTTTTACCCCCAAAACCCACCCCAAAATTCTCGACTCTCCTTTTCAAAAACTAAACTAAACAAAATTGGTCCTTACCCATTACAACAATAATTAACATTTTGCACAAGGTCATTGCATGACCATACAATGAATCTTCTGATCTAAAGAACAAATTCTACTTCTTCAAAATCAACCATTCCTAAAAGGAGGCTAAATCAAAAATCCTCCTCATCCTCCCATTGTGAAAAATTGATAGCACTACGCAGTCAGAAAAAATGTTGATACCCCCGCAAGCTCCATCATAACCAATCGTTCCAAAGAGTCATCACCAAATATTTGACACAATAACCATTTTATCAAAGGCCAGATCAGAGGCACCAAGTAACTCCAACTACTTGGCATATGCATCAACTAAAACAAAACAACTTTCATTGCATATGCATAAAAGCAAGGACTATGATTAAAAAAGAAAGAAAGGATTGTATTGGTATCTACCAGTGCATATCCATGGCTATCCAATCACGTGGCATTACAGCTCCACAAAAGATATATCCAAGCCAAGTATTAAGAACCAAAGGTAATTCTTATCATGATAACAAAGATATAAAAACAAATAAATGGTGAAGAAAGAAAAATATTTATTTCTTCCTGCAAAAACAAGTTAACAACGGTAGGGGACAACACAAGATTCTTCCTATCCCCTAATATTAAATTGAATCCATGGCGAACACCATCAACAAGCACATATAAGCAATAATCACTATATCATCACAGGACAGATCCGAGAAATCAATTCATTCTTCCCCGTCTAATATATGATATTTTCGACTGGATTGGGAGTTGAACCGGGTATTGTTTGGAATTCAAAGACAATAGTCATTAAAAGAAAAAAAAAACGAATACAATTCTGAAGTTTTCTTGTCACATGAAATACTGAAATAAGAAACACAGAGGACATTTGTGAGCTCAATAACGAAAAACACAAACAATGAAGAGGAGTATTCCAGCTCCTATAAACCAAAGCAATAGAAATTGGACCATTTTTCAGGCAATACAGAACAGAAATAGGGTTTTAACAGATGAAAAAAAAAACCCTTCGGAATCATAAACAAAAGAAATGGAGATGGAAAGTGAGTAGGGCATAGAAGAAGCTCACGTCGATCTTTTGCTGCTCAAGATGAGCGGCGAGCAGCTCTTCTGGGGTCTGAGCAGTCATGGCGTTTCTTAGCTTTCACTGAACTTAGAAGAGAAAACCTAGAGAGAGAAACCACGGCTTAGAGAGAGAGACTGAGAAACGCAAAAACCCTAGGACCGTTTGGAAATCGGATTTTATATATGAGAATTTCATTTTGGGTAAATGGCTTTAGCACCTGTGCTTTTAAGGAAAGTCGTTTGATAGGGCTGCAGCCCTATCAAAATAAATACACCTCACCTCATAAATCATCAAAACATACAATTTAAGTATGGAAAAAGTTTATATAAAGTTGCAACTTTATAGTGCACAAACAAATAAAGATGTACCTCAAAATCTATTGAAAAATGTTGTTTTAATGTTGAAAAATGCTTTAATTGATCATCTCGAAATCCAGATGTATGCATATATAATATATCTTGCAATACATTATCTAGACCGTCCATTTTCAATAGTTTCATATATTTATAGATCTACTTGATTCTAATCATTTTTGAAGTTTAAAATTTTATCATTAAATATGAAAATAGATTTTTAGATAATCTTAAGAATTTTTTTACACCAAACTACATGTTATGATAAATTTTGGAGGTGCGCCTTAATTGGATTGTTCAAGGTTGCAATCTTATAGAAACCAAACCCTAAGTATCGAAAAACCTTTATATCGATCATCTCGGCTTGAAATTATGGTTGTGAAAAAAAATTAGATTTCAAGCTCTAAAAATAATGTATGTTGTAACAAATAATCTAGACTCATTTATTTTACCTTAAAAATAAGTGTTAAAAAATCTGCAAGATCTTTATATTTTTTAGTTTCAAAATTTATTGTCGATATTTAAAAATTAATTATAGAACCATTATAAAGATTTTTTGTTGTCGAAATTATTGTGTAGACGAGGAGTTAAGGTGAGGCTTTATTTTGCTTTCATAAAGCCTAGGCTTATAGAAACTTCATCATGCCTTTAATATGTAAACCTGAATTTTTACTGTCCGCACCCATAACATGAGTAAGTCCATTGGGGCCGCAATAACCCTCACCTGTGTAACGGGTGTAAATAGAAAATGATTCCCCAACTCTATGGATATCTTATCGAAGTAATGTGCTTCAAAAATCCTATAAAAGAAAATGTAAGCCATAAGATCAATTAAAATCTAATGGCTGATGTTAAACTCAAATTTGTTAGGTTTTTTTAAAAAATTAAAATGTCCATTTCAAATTTGAAATTCAAATCTTATCAAGCACAGTGATCCAATGGGGCGTTGCGCATTTAATGATTTTCTATACCCTAGAAGCTTCAAGCTCAAGGTCAAGTAAAATCTTTGATTTAGGGTTTATTTCTTTGAAATTTACCGGTGCTTTGCATATTCTCTTTAGAGTTGTTCCTCTCTCCAAATTTGATATTTCTTTCTGCTTTTTTTTTTTTTCCTTTGAATAGTTATAGTTGTGTAAATTTGAAGCTCCAAGTAAGTCCCTTTAATTTTTTGGCTCTGAAATTTCTTCTCTCGCTCTCTCAATTCACAGAGTTCTCTCTAAGAATAGGTGTCACAACTATGCTCCCTGTCATCCCTGTCGAACCCACAGAGGGCCAAGCTCAGGCCCGCCAAAAGAACGCAGGGCGTGGCGTGGGACCATGACCACAGGTTGCGAGTGCCACTTTGGTTGGAGTGCCCTCAACACCTTGAAAAATGAGGAATTTTGGATATCAAGTCAGTCACAAAAGAAATGAAAAAAAAAACACAATATACATAATCATAGTTTGCTAGATAAACAAGTTACAAAATACATCAAATAGTACATATAAGTCCAAGGCACAAAGCCCCAACATTAATACGTATTACTAATCAAAATGAATTATATGGCCAGATTGCCAACCAAAATATACACTGCAAAATAGAGCTTCAACAGAAGAGGGGTAAAGGACCCCAAACACGACCACCAAGATACCCCACTCCAGGCACGACTAGTCATCACTCTACATAGGAAAAAATTAACCGAGTGAGTTGTAAAGTCCAGTAAATAAGTTCTAGGTGTCATGCTTTCATACTTACAAATATATTGTCATATCAATAATTAAGGTTTTATGCAAGTCTTACAAAACATAGAATCATACTTCAAATTCATATTTTCATGCACGATTTATTTCATGATGGAGTAATAACTAATCAGATATTATTGTAATAAGAAGTCGATCAAATCATTCAGGCATGAGCATCATAACAGATTAAAACATTTAGGCATGCATGTAACATGCATAATCAAGATCAAAAGATACCAACTAACCCCTAAAGTAGAAGCCCCGCCCACCGGACAAATCAAATCATGATGTGTAGAGCCTCTACCATCACAACCAGGAGAGAAGTACCACCAACAGGTAAATCCATTGTATAGTGCATCACAGATGCACACAACCTCATTGTCATGTGGTAAATTGATAAGCATTGGCCTTGTAAGACACGGTCCTCTCATGTGTCTTTTAGCGAGAGCGTGCTACACTACCAAAAAGGTCTCAATGAGTAGTGCATCGCATAAGTTTTAGGCGAGTGACGACCCAAATACATACACTCATAACTCTCATCCTATCATATAGAGCATGGAGAAATCACAGCTGCAGGCACAAATATCTCATCAGATCATAACATAAGCATGTCTTCATGTGCCAATATCTTCTCAGAAGCATGTTACCATGCATAGATCATATAACAGAAGCATGTCTCTATGTACATATATCTTACCAGCAGCATGTTACCATGCACACATTGTTGGTACGTGTGTATGTGGTCATGGGGCCTTTAAACGTGTCATTTTTCTCTCTCTTATAATCTAATACTTATCACCAAAATAGGGAGGCTTCTTAGAGAGAGAAAATCACGTGATCTAACGGGTAGAAAATAACCACCCACCTCCTAGGATTACAAGGGCTATGTTTCTCAGAAATTTCAGGAACTCAGCCGATCGTTGGAGAACGGTCTCCTTCCATCCCTATTTAAGAAGGGTTTCATAGCAATGGAGAGGCATACCACATAATCAATTTTGAGTTCTCATTATTCTAGGAATAGGCATGATCTTTGCTATCTCAGGTCTCACAACATCCCCAATAATCCTTGGAGAGGGGTTCATCTCTTCTCTAATAATTCTAACATTGGTACGAGAGCTTCAGTAGCAGAAGTGTGGTAGGCTCATAACCCATAGGTCCTAGGATCGAAATCAATTATTTGGTTTCCTTTGAGTTTATATTTTATTGAACAATATCTCTCTTTAATTTTTCTTTTCTTTTCGATATCAGTTCTCCATTTACTCTGTTGAAATTTCTCATCTCTGAGATTGTTGACTTCATACGCCAATTCCATTCGGTTGAAATTTTCTCTGAGATCTGTGAGTTCTATATATATATATATATCATTATCTCATTGTTAGCCTAAGAGTAGGAGGATCGTATATCATTATCTCATTGTTAGCCTAAGAGTAGGAGGATCGTACCATCATTCAATTTTCATCTCATTGTTATCTAAAACAACCTTACAGATTTATTGTTATCTCCATATGCCATTTACGCTTAGAAGATTGCAGGTTGTTATTCACACGATTAAATATATTAATTTATATTTATCTTATACTAGGTTAACTCGTTGTAATCTTTTGTTCCCTTTGCTCGTTATTTACTCTCTCTCTCTCTCTCTCTCTCATTTACTGAAGTTTTTAAATAACCACGTTTTCTGTTTTGTTTATACCTCCATCTCACAACCAAAGTTTATCTTTTTCCAATGTTTTCTTTGCTATTGAATATCACAACGAAATTCATTGAGTTTTAGTGAATTTCAAGATCCTTTTTTTCTTTGCTCTTCTTTAACTCAAAAAGAAACCTCGTGCACATTGCAACCACGCACCTTAACCACTTGGCCAAAGTGAAGTGGTAATTCTTTTTCAAATTTTTATTATTATAATAATTAAATTAAAGATAAAATTTGCTATTTAATTTTAGAGAGAGAGAGAGAGATAGAGTTACTGCTGTAATTTTAGAGAGAGAGAGACAAAGAGACTCATAATTTCTAAAAATCAGTTGGCTTGCACCTTTCTTTCTTCTATATTTTATTGCTACAAATTAATGCATAATCTTATTGGATTATTGAAAATTGTTATGCACACAACAACTATTCAAGTAAAGGTTGGTATATCAATTGCATGCATTTTTTTTTTTTGGCTTATAATTTAGGGATTTTCTACATATTTTATTTGCATAATAATTATCATTGCATTGCATAATTATCCTATGCTTTGGTCTCTTTAAGTTAGAAAATTTCATGATCTTGATTTTGAGAATTCATTTTTTGTGATTATGTTATGCCTTATTTTTTGTTGAAAAATATCCAATATCATTCTAGATTCTCTCACTTGTGCTAAAACATGTAGACTTATTTATGAAAAATATTCTTATGTAAGATTTGACATAAATTAGTTGTTGCCTTACTTTATTGATTTTTTGTTGCATCACGGCAGTGCATAAATTGTTCTAGAAAATTTTTCTTTTAGGTTGCAGCTCATTGAGAGTCAGCAAATTTATTGATTTAACTAGCAAACAACCCTTTTTTAAATACACTTTTTTTTTTTTGAACTTTTAGGTATTATCTAAAAATTTAAAATGGCATCTAGGCTAGTCATGTCAGAACTATCCAAACTTGAAAAACTCAATGGGACGAATTTGCTATGTGGAAAAGAAAAATTGGATATATTCTTTTCCAATATAGGGTAGATTATGTCCTAGAAACAGAACCACCAGTCTTAGAGCCTAATGCCAATGGTCAAGCCAGAATGTGACTTGACAAATGGTTAGAAGATGATAAAGTAGCTAGGATTACTATGTTAAGCTTTATGGAAGATGATTTAATTAGAGTCTTTGATGATCATACAACAACTCAAAGTATGATGGGTGCCCTATCTAAAAAGTATGGGACCACTTCTGATACCCATGTGCAATTGTTGTTAGAAAAATACAATTCTTGTAGAATGAAATAATCAGACTCAGTGACCGAGCATGTCAATTAAATGACAGTGCTCGCAAAAGACCTTACTACAGCCGAGAATCCAGTTCCTGATCGCATGCAAGTATCGATTGTCCTTAACAGGCTCCCTCCATCTTAAGAGTCTGTT